ACAAAAGGAAATTAGAAGGAAATTACAGCGTTTCAATATAAAAATCAACTAGACACAAAAGAAGACAGTAATGCAGGAAATGAGGGTGAAAAAAGCTATAAGGTATATAGAAAAATATAGCAAAATGACTAAAATCAGTTTATTGTTATCAGTAAGTGCTTTAAATATAAATAGATTAAACTATCCAATGAAAAGACAGAGATTGGCAGAATAAATTTTTAAAAAACCCACACATGATCCAGCTATATGCTATCATCAAGTGATTCACTTTAGATCCAGAGATATGAATAGGTTAACAGTAAAATGATGGGAAAAGATAGTCAATGCAACTTGTGACCACAAGAGAGCAGGAGTGGCTATACTTACATCTGGCAAAATTGACTTCAGATTAAAACAATTACAAGGAACAAAGAAGGACATTATATTTTAATAGAAATTTCTATACAGCAAAAAGATACAATAATTTTACACTTACTAACAGACCATCAAAATATATGAAACAAAAACAGAATTGGAGGGAGAAGTAGATTTACAATAATGGTTGAAGACTTTAATAGCTCACTGTCAACAATGGATAGAACAACCAGATAGAAGATGAATAAGAAAATAGAAGACTTGAACAACACAATTAGCCAACCAGATCTAACAGACGTATACAGAACACTTTATTCAACAATAGCAGAATTAACCTTCTTCTCAGGTTCATATGGAACATTCTTCAGGAGAGACCTATGATAGATCAGAAATTAAGTCTCAATAGATTTAAAAATAGAGATATAATATAAAGTATCTTCGATGGTCTGAATATGTTCTTCAAATTTATGTGTTAGGAACTTGTGGCCATGTTGAGAAGTGGGGCTTTTGGGAGAACTCTCCCCTCATGCTGTTACAAAATGCTGTTACAAAAATGGCAGGAGTGGGTTTTCTTCTGCTCTTATGCCGTGTGAGGACAGTGTTCATCCACCTTTTGTGCTTCCCTCTTCCACAATGTTAGAATGTAGCAAGAAGACATTCATAAGATTCTGGCACCTGATATTGGACTTCCCACCTTCCAAAACTGTTCTTTGTAAATTACCCAGTCTGTGGTATTCTGTTATAGCAGCACGAATGTATTAAGAGAGCCTCTTTCCTAACTATAGTGGGATGAAGGAAGAAATCAATAACAGAGAGAAAAATTGGAAAATTCATGAATTTGTGGAAAAACACACTTAACCAATGCATCCAAGAAGAAATTACAAGGGAAATTAGAAAATATCTTGAGATAAATGAAAATGAAAACAAAACATACCAAAACTTATTGAATGCAGCAAAAACAGTGCTGAGGGGGAAATTTGTAGATATAAACACTTACATTTGAGAAAAATCTCAAATAAACAATTTAAATCTATAATAATTTAAGAAAGAAAATAACACACTGAACCCAAAGCTAGCAGGAAGAAACAAATAATAAAGATTAGAGCAGAAAAGTTTTTTAATAATAGAGAAAATTAGCATAACCAAAAGTTGGTTCTTCAAAAGTATCAACAAACTGACAAACCTTTGGCTAGATAAACTAAGAAAAAGAAGACTCAAATTACTAAAATCAGAAATTAAAGGATTATTATTGATGTTACAGAAATTAAAAGGATTATGAGAGTACTATGAATAATTTTAACACATTAAATAGCCTGGAAGAAATTTATAAATTCTTAGAAACACAAAACCTACCAAGACTGAAGCATGAAGAATTAGAAAACGTGAATATGCCTATAACTAGTAAGAAGACTGACTTAGCAATAAAAAATCCCAATAAAGAAAACGCTGGGCCTGATGGCATCACTGGGGAAATGTACCAAACATTTAGAGAAGAAGTAATACCAATTCTCAAACTTTTGAAAAATATCATATAGGAGGAATTACATCCTAACTAATTCTGTGAGGCCAGCATTGTCCTGATACAAAAGCCAGACAAAAACACTGCAAGAAAAGAAAACTACAAAGCAATATCCTTTATGAACGTTGATGCAAAATCTTTAACAAAATACTAGCAAACTAAATTTAACAGCATACTAAAGAGATTATACACCATGATCAAATGGAATTTATTCCTGGAATGCAAGGATGGTCTAACATGTGAAAATTGATCAATGTAATATACCACATTAACAGAATAAAGGAAAAATTACATAGTTATCTCAATTGATGCAGAAAGGGCCTTTAACAAAATTTAGCACCATTTTGTGATTTTAAAAACAATCAACAAACTAGAAATATAACAAAACTACCTCAACATAATAAAAATCATATTTGAAAAAACTCACAGCAAACATCATACTCAATGGTGAAAGACTAAAAGCTTTTCCTCTTAGATCAGAAACAAGGAAAGGATGCCTATGTTTGCCATTTCTATTCAACATAGTACTGGAAGTTCTAGCCAGAGCAATAAGGCAAGAAAAAGAAGTAAAAAGACATTTAAATTGGAAACGAAGAAGTAAAAGTATCTCTGTTTACAGATGGCATGATTTTATACGTGGAAAATTCTAAAGATTTCACCTAATAAAATTGTTAAAATAAGAAATGAATTCAGCAAAGTAGCAGGAAACAAAAATAAACAAAAATCACTTGCATTTCTACACACTAACAATAAACAATCTGAAGAGGAAATTAATAAAATTTCATTTACAATAGCTTCAAAAATTATAAAATGCTTAAGTATTAATCTAGGAAGTAAAAGAGAGAGAAAATTGTGAAACATTGCTGAAATAAAGAATAAATAAATAGAAAGACATTTTACATTCACGGATTAAAAGACTTAAAATTGATAAGATGTCAATGTTACCCAAAGTGGTATACAAATTCAATACAATCCCTATCAAAATCCCAATGACTTTTTTTGGGGCAGAAAGAGAAAAGCTTATCCTAAAATTTACATGGAATCCTAAGAGATGATAAATAGCTAAAATAATCTTTAAAAAGAAAGTGGGAGACTTATACTTCCTGATTTCAAAACTTACTAAAAAGCCATAGTAATCAAACCAGAGTGGTGCTGGCATAAAGACAGACATATAGGCCAATGGAACAGAATAGAGAGCCCAGAAATAAATCCTCACATATATGGTCAAATGACTTTTGATAAGGTTGCCAAGACAATTCAATGGGGGAAAGGTTAGTATTTTCAACATAGAGTCCTGGGAAAACTATATGACTACATTGCAAAATAATGAATGTTGACCTTTACATAACACTGTATGCAAAAATTAACTCAAAATGGATCAAAAGCCTAAACATAAAAGATGACACAGGACAAAGTCTTTATAACACTGAGTTTGGCAATTTTTTAGATATAACGCCAAAGGCCTAAGCAACAAAACAAAAACAACAACAAATTGATCTTCATAAAAATTAAAAACTTTTGGCCTCAAAAGACTTAATTAACAGAGGAAAAAGGCAACCCACAAAACGAGAGAAAATATTTGCAAAGTATATGTCTGATAAGGGATTAATATCCAGAATATAGAGAGAACTCAACAATAACAACAAACAACTTGATTAAAAATAGGCAAATAACTTTAACAGACATTGCTCCAAAGACGATACAAACAAATGATCAGTAAGCACATGAAAGGATGCCGAACATCATTAATTATTAGAAAAGTGAAAATAAAAAACATAGTGAGATATCACCTTACACCCATTAGGATGACTACTATCAAAAATACAAAAAACATACGTTGATGAAGGTGTGGAGATACTGGAACTCTTGTGCACTATTGGTCAAAATGTAAAGTGGGGCAGGTACTGTGTGGAAAACAGTGTGGTAGTTCCTTAAAAAATTCAAAACAGAATTATCATGTGATTCAACAATTCTCCTTCTGGATATTTAGCCAGAATTGAACGCAAAATCTTGAAGAGATATCTGTACCCCCATGTTCATAGCAGCATTATTCATGATAGCTAAAATGTGGAATTAATAGATGAATCATTCAGTCTTAAAAAGAAAGGGAATCTTGTTGTATGCTGCAATGTGGATGAACCTTGAAGACATATAAAGTGAAATAAGCCAATCATGAAAAGACCAATACTGTGTAATTCCATTTATCTGAGGTACCTAAAGTAGTCAAATTCATAGACAGAAAGTTAATTAGTGTTTTCCAGGGACTGGGAGAAAGAGAAATGGGGTGTTATTGTTTAATGGGTATAGAGTTTCAGCTTTGCAAGATAAAAAGAGGTCTGGAGATGGATGGCAGTGATGGTTACACAAAAGTGTGAATGTACTTAATGCTGCTGAGCTGCACACTTAAAAATGATTAAGATGAAAAATTTTGTATGCGTTTTTGACCACAATAAAAAATGTTTTATTTAAACACACACACACACACACACACACACACACACACACACCCTATTCCTTACCCCCTTGGCTCTTTTTTTGCTTCTATCAGAAAGATTTTTATTCAGTTATATTTCAAATTTAGAAAATGCTTTTATTGGGAGTTTTCCTTATGGCTTCTAAGCAGAAGCTGAGTAATTACAAGGCTGGTCAGTATGTCCATTTCTACATTCATTTAATTTCTATTTGTTAAATGTTCACTATGTGCAAGCCTCTCTTTAAAAATGTATTTGAGAGACTGGACTGCCCTTCAAAATCTCATAAACCCAAGTTTCTATGATACTGTGTGTTCTGCCTTCTATTACTAGTTGTCTGTGTAACCCAAGGTAAGTCACTTAACTTCTCTAGAACTCAATTGTCTCAGTTGTTTTTTCTAGTTCCAAAATTCTACAGATTTTCAAAGCATAAGGATGATAATGGCATATTACTTTCTTCACTGGACCGTTTATTTCTTGAGTGGAAAGGTTCCAACCAAGATATTAACTCTACGGAGAATATGGTACAAGTTCATTTAAAAAAAGCTAATATGAATTAGTAAGAAATTGAGTTTCAGAATTTTTTTAAAATAAATACAATCTCAAGAACATAACTTGATTTTAGAAAAGATAACAAGAGTGTTTTCAATTAACAGCTAGGAATGACCAAGGCAAAACTTCCATCTACTTGCATCAGAATGGAGACACAGATGCGGATGATGAATTAAAGGGACTCAAGGAAGGTCACTATTCTGCCTTGAATTTGTTTTCATGGTTCTCCAAGAAGTGTCTAGAGGTGAGAAAGTCAATTTAACTGATTATTTTCTAAAAATAGAATAAACAGAAAATTTTGTTTAAAAAATATTTTCTTAGCATAGTGAAGTACAACATTTTCTATAGTTATCTACAGTACTTTAAGAAATTTACAATGTACTGCTAGAACTTTGAGTGAAACTTAGGAATTTTATGTGCTTTGGATGAAAGATGACAGCAAAAAATTATACAATTTTAGTTCATTTGCATTAAAATATTCTTACAACAGAGCATGGAATCCAATAATAAAACCCAGGGAAAATCATTCTAATTTTAGGAGAAAAATTAACACCTACCTACCCTACAACCTCACAATTAAAATCTGGTGGAATTCTATAACCTTCCACATGGTTTGCCTCTTGTGTGGTGGAAAAGTTATTGACTCCTTTGAGAGAATGAAGAGGAAAGAAGACAACACTGTTGAAGAATCTTCTATAATCTAGATGTCAGCAGAAGCCACCCACTCTTTGATTCTAAGATTACGTTTCTTCATCCCCCATTCTGTGTTCTGTTCTGTTGGGTTTTTTTCCCCCGAAAATTTCTACAAATACTTTCTCCTAGTATTTGTTGAATACTTCATTCTGTAACTAATGGCTATTTGTTTATCTCTGATCCAGCGTTGACCTAAAGTTCAGACATGACTCTTTCTTCCAAAATTCACTTGTAAGAGTATCTTAGTCCATTTCTCCCGCTATAACAAAATACCATAGACGGGGTAAGTTATGAACAACAGCAATGTCTCACAGTTCTGAAGGGTGGGGAGTCCAAGATCAATGTGCTGGCAAATTTGATGTCTGGTGAGAGCTGCTTTCTGCTTCCAAGAGGGCACCTTGTTGCTGTGTCCTCACAAGGTGGAAGAGCAGAAAGGCAAAAAAAAAAAAAAAAAAAGAAAAAGAAAAAAAAAAAAAGACAAATGTTCTCTGCAGCCTCCTTTTTAAGGATATTAATCACCTCCCAAATACCCTGCCTTCTAATTCCATTGTCTTGGTGATAGGTTTGAATATATGAAATTTGAAAGTACACATGCGTTCAAACCATAACAACGAGACAACAAGAAGCAACTTGCACAAGCAAATATCTACAACTATGTGTGGTAGATTTTACTGGATATTGAAGTAATCATGTGCTCATGTTGCAGCGCTGTTTAGAAAATATTCTAACTTGAGTACTAGCTTTTCTGGTCCTCTGAAAGTCCCTTCTCCATTTCCACCAACTTAGATTTCAGAGTCTCATGACATTGTTCAGCTTTCTCTCCTGCTGCTTCTCTGTCTCCCAGTTGTGATAAAAAAAATCCTGATATTATTATGAAGAGCATTTTAGCTCTAGCACTTACCACCTCCTCCCTCATTCACACTTTACATAGCTTAAGATTTATTAATGTGCTCTGCTAAAAAAAGCTTCATGTATTTCAAGTGTTATCCTTTCTTCTCTACCCTGCCCCCTTTACTTTCTCCAGAAGCAGGGAGAGGAATATGAAGTTTTATTTCCCCAGAGGCAACACTTAGAATACATAAGACTTAGAAGACTTAGATGAGCAACATGTATCCTCTCATGACCTCAGAAGACATAAGTGTAGTTGACAATCCCAGCACTTTGGGAGACCAAGGTGGGCGGATCACCTGAGGTCAGGAGTTCGAGACCAGCCTGACCAACATGGTGAAACCCCGTCTCTACTAAAAGTACAAAAATTAGCTGGGTGTGGTGGCGCATGCCTGTAATCCCAGCTACTTGGGAGGCTGAGGCAGGAGAATCGCCTGAACCTGGGAAGCGGAAGTTGCAGTGGGCCAAGATCATGCCATTGCACTCCAGCCTGGCAACAAGAGCAAAACTCTGTCTCAAAAAAAAAAAAGAAAAAAGAAAAAGAAAAAAAGGACTCACAAGACTGGCTTCTTATTCTAGTTTTGTCACTAATTAATTGTGTTATCTTGGGAAAGTACCTCATGGTACCTGAGAAACATTCTCTAAATTTATTGCCAATTCTGAGTCTGTGATTTGAGAGTCCCTCTGGTACCTAGTTCTTCTATAAATGTAGTCAAAGTTGGGATTTCTCCCTTCACAGGTAGGTGAACTTTCCCCTACCCTGGGCTGTGCCCCAGCATCTCCCTCACTAGCCATCTGTTCAATGCCTGTTGTCAGAAGCAATAGAGGTTTTACAGACAGGCCAAGCTTTGGGGCCAGACACAGGCATATATCCTATTTTTTTCAACTCAGAACCTAAGTTGTGCTGTTTACTCTTAGAAGCTGTCTTATTTGTGAACTGAAACTGAGCATAATGATATCTACCTTAGAAGACTGTATAAAACAGTGATGCACATGAAGCACTAAAGTGAAGTGCCTAGCACATCGTAAGTGCCCATAAATGGATCATTATCATGTCTATATAAGGGGGAGAGGTGAATGTCATGGCAAGCACATGACATGCTCTTTCTGGGTTTGCTGACACACTTGCATGTACATGGTAGAATGAACTCAACTTACTGTACAGATAGCTTCTAAACTTTAGTTTTACTCAGTAGAAAACATAAGTTAAGAGAAAAAGCTGAATGGTTCTAGGCAGCAGTTTTTTTTTTGGGCTGTGATGAGGAAGGGAAAGGTAGATTGACTAAAGAGATGGGAAGAGAAAGGACTATGAATAGAAAAACTAAACACATCCAAGGGTATGATTCAGTTTCTGCAGTATGATGACTGACAGGCATCCTTTGCCTTTGTCTCCATGAATCATATATATACACATATATATATACACTCACATATATGTGAAATATAATGCCTATTATATATGTCTGTTATATAATATAACCCAATATATCTATATATTATATATTTTTATATTATTTATAGATCATATTATATATTACAGATATTTATATAATTATAAATATATATGTATCATATAACATGTGTTAATATATTATATCTGATATATAATATATCATCTACTATATATCTATATTATATATCAGATATAATATATAATTATTTTATATTATATAATAGTATATATAATGTAATATATATGAAAAAATATATATCATAATATATAATATCTATTATATAGAGATAATATATAATACATAAAATATCTATTATATAATGGGTGTCATATATATGTATATAATTGTAATATATAAGATATAGAATTATAAAGACATAAGATTATTGTAACCTAATACATGTGACATTGTGGAGTGAGAGCTATCTCTGGCACTTGTCAAAGTGTGAAGTCCTGCTTCAATGTGGGCATAGGTATAAGGACAGAGACCTTATAAAGAAATTCACTCAGGATGCATATTCTGAAGATTTCAGGTGGATTAAAATTGTAGGCAGTGACCCAGCCCTTGGGATTGATACTCAAATACTTTATCATCCACATCTGTGTTTTCCACACCTATTCTCTTGATGCTCAAATCTGGCTAGAGCCTATGACCCTGTGAAAAATGGGACAAGTTTGCTGTTATCTTGGACCTTGGTCCATCTGTTCCGCATCTAGCAGGAATATAATTTGCTGACATGAATGACTAGCTGCTGAAGAGATCCCGCGAGTGTCATGGAATAGTGGCCACTACTGTTCATGAGGGAAACAGGCTACCGTGGTCAAATCGTAAGGGAATACACTGCTTCAAAGGCCCGTGCAGGCTGCTCAGTTGTCTGTAATGATTAGGACACTGTTGGGAAGGCCAGCCGCTGCCATCTATAGCCAGTCTGCTGTAAATATTCATCAGGAGAAGCAAGCTAGCCAGCCAACAGCCGTTTATCTCCCCTGCAATAGTTTCTAGTCGGGCTGTGACCTCATGCTACATAAAAATGTCACCTTCCCAGGTCTGCACTGTAAACACAGAAAAGCAGCTATTAGTTTTGCTTCTTATCAGAAATGTATTTTGTTTTTTATATTTTCAGAGACAGGGTGCGGCCATGCTTCCCTGGCTAGCCTTGAACTCCTGGGCTCAAGTGATCCTCCCACCCCAGTCTCCTGAGTAGCTGACACTACATGCGCTTGTCACTGTGCCCAGCTAGAAAAGTATTTTTAAAGCAATGATTTTAACCATTGGGTGTTGCCTTTAAGACCTGAGTTTCTGAGTATTATAAAATCAAAAAATTTAAATCATTTTAAGGAAGCATAGTGAATAGGTGCAGTAAAATTAAAGCACATAAAGTGGCAGCTGTTCATTGTCAAAAGTTTATACTGGCAAGGAATCTTTCTCTCTTCCTTTCTTCCTTATCTTTTAAAATAAAACCATTTAAAATACCAGTGAATCTCCTTCTACAGTAATACTGTTACATGGCAAAACTATTTTGCTGGCTTGCTCTGCCTTCTGGGACCAGTTTTTTTTTTTTTGTGCTGGCTTTCTTTACCTCCTGAGCAGACATTTGTACATTGTATTCTCACCCTCAGCAACTATATTCTGGGTATGAGTCCAAAGAATGCAGTCAATATTTACCTTTACTTTAAACAACAAAAGGGAAAATTTTGTAGATTTTAAGCTGCCAGTGGAGATTTGAATCCTCTACAATAACTTTTGAACTGTTTTCTCAGCACTATTCTGCTTAGCTACAGCAGAGAAAATAGAGTGATGAATAATGAAATATTCATGAAAGAAAAATTTTAAAAAAAGTTTTCTTAAAATAAATTGATTCTAAAACCACAATGTGTGAAAGTACTTTTTTATGATGCCAACTTTCAGATTCATGGGTTTAGAGGGTGTGGATTTGTTGCACTATCATGTGGCGGGGTGCTGGTAAATGCGAGCCTACCACATTTTGCCAAGAATGAAGTCCAGTTTGATGTAGCATTGGCCACCCAGTGGGAACAAACTGCCAGGTCCCACTGAATCTTAGAGTTCCACTGCCATTCAGTGTAGAAAGAAACTAGATTTTTTTTTTTTGCCAAGATGGCTGACTAGAAGCAGCTGGTGTGCGCCACGCTCACAGAGAGGAGAAAGCGTGGCGAATAAACGTTAGCTCTTCAACTGGATCATCCAGGTG